TCGGGTTTGTGGGATTTTGTTCGTGTTTGGTTTGTTTATTGACCATTGACTGTCACGTCATCGTTTTGTTCGTGTGATCATTTATTAAATAAATATGTTCACATTCAACGCTGCGCCTTGGTCCTCCTCTATGTACGACGATCGTGACAGAAAATCCCACCAAGATGTGACCAAGCAGAGTGTCCAGGAGCCATCGCCAGGGAGATCCCTAACAGAACTCCTTCGCCTCCTCGACTGGGTCAAGCCGAGTGAGGAAGAGAAGGGCTTGACCTTGTGGCAGAAGGGCGAAAGGCTGGCGAGGGACATGGAGACCTGGTCCACGGGTAGGGGAGACGCCCAGAAATTTTTTAGGGGGGGGCTAACGCCGTGGACGACGGGGCAGCAGGAGGCCGCCAGGTTACGGGAGTCACTGGTCACCAGGGGGAGGGAGGATGTAGAGGCACGGCGAGAGGTACTGGCGTGTGTTGCCAGTCCGGTCCGGCCTGTTCCTGATCCCCACGTAGGGCCAGTGGTGTGTGTTCCCAGTACGGTCCGGCCTGTTCCTGCCACTCGCACCAAGTCTACGGTGCGCGTCGCCAGCCCAGTCCGGCCCATTCCTGCTCCCCGCACCAAGTCAGGGGTGCGCTTCGACAGCCCGGCTCGGCCCATTCCTGCTCCCCGCACCAAGTCAGGGGTGCGCTTCGACAGCCCGGCTCGGCCCGTTCCTGCTCCCCGCACCAAGTCAGTGGTGCGCTTCGTCAGCCCGGCTCGGCCCGTTCCTGCTCCCCGCACCAAGTCAGTGGTGTGCTTCGTCAGCCTGGCTCGGCCCGTTCCTGCTCCCCGCACCAAGACAGGGAGGCGCTTCGACAGCCCGGCTCGGCCCGCTCCTGCTCCCCACACCAAGCCAGTGGTGTGCGTCGTCAGTCCGGCACGGCCCGTGCCTGTTCCCCGCACCAAGTCAGGGGTGCGCTTCGACAGCCCGGCTCGGCCCGCTCCTGCTCCCCACACCAAGCCAGTAGTGTGCGTCGTCAGTCCGGCACGGCCCGTGCCTGTTCCACCGGTGGCTGGTCCGGCACCGGTCAGATGCTTCACGCCGGAGCTAGAGCAATCCGCTCCACCAGTGTGCAGTCCAGCTCCGGCCAGCGGGGCCAGACCGGACCAGGGATACTTTGGGGGGTTGGAGAGGGAGCGGGGATCAGGCCCGGAGCCGGATCCGCCGCCTAGGCGGAGTGCCCACCCGGTCCCTCCCCTGTGGGTTTTGGTTGATGCGGTCGGAGTCCGCGCCTTTAGGGGGGGGGTACTGTCACGCCCTGGCTCTGGGGACACTGTTATGTTGAGCCAGGGTGTGTAGATCTATGGGTTTTGTTTCTATGGGTGTTTATTTCTATGTTGGCCAGAGTGACTCCCAATCAGAGGCAACGAGTGTCAGCTGTCGTGGGTTGTCTCTGATTGGGAGCCATATTTAAACTGTCTGTTTTTCATTCGGGTTTGTGGGATTTTGTTCGTGTTTGGTTTGTTTATTGACCATTGACTGTCACGTCATCGTTTTGTTCGTGTGATCGTTTATTAAATAAATATGTTCACATTCAACGCTGCGCCTTGGTCCACCTCTATGTACGACGATCGTGACAGCTTGTGATTGACCTGTTGGAAACCCCTGCTCTACAGACTATCTACAGACTATCAGTAACATTTCAACTAACTATCTACTAACCCTAACCCTAGACCTAACCCTTAACCCTTATCGTAATCCTAAACTTAACCCTTAACCTAACCCTAGCTCTAACCTTTACCTTAATCCTTACCCTAACCCTAACCCTTATTCTAAGCCAAACCCTAACCTTAGCAAGCAGATGCTTATCAGCAGATAGTTTGTTGATAGTATGACCATCTGTAGAGCATCTACAGATGGAAAATCCGGACTATCCAAATAAAGTGTGACCAATAATTTAGCTTTAGCCATTTGGTATTTGAGAGTATGACGATTATCAACTGAAACACTGTTTAACACAGGGATTTCGCTAGGGAAACATGGCAACTGAGAACGATGTTGCAGTAGGCATACAATGGAAGAAAGGGAGAGAGATAAAAAACACAGGCTTGAATCCAGTCTGTGTGGAGTTCCAGGAAGGGCTGAAGTGTCAGGTACATCACCCTCCTGTTCTAACTCAACGGCTGCTCAGTGACATGCTGGCTTCTCGCTCTGTGCTCTCCTGACTTAATGACTGCTTAAATGTCTGATGGCAACCTGCTAAACATCACTGGTTGCCTGGTTACCTGCTTGGAGCCCGAGCCGGCTGCTGCATGTGCAGTGGTTATTGTGATATTAGGTAGGCGAAGGAAGAGGTGGAAGGAGACCTAGAAGGAACCTGATACCGCAGAAGAGACTCACAATCAATGGGAAAGTGAAGCTGTTCTCTCTCTCTATTTCTATGTATAATTCCATCCCCAGCACATCAGTATCCTTATGCATTTCATTACACATTATGACCTCAACCGAAGGGGGGCGCTTACCAGTGTGTTTTAGCTGTGGTGGCCCTAAACAGCAAGAGCATGACTACCACTCTGTGCTCTAATAAAGACATGGCCACTTGATGCCATAATTGGGGCACATATATACGTACAGGGACATTCCCAGCAATTACATTAACCTCAGGAGACTGTCTGTGCAGCTGTTAACTCAGTTCCCTTTCACTTCAATCGAAAGTGTCAACAGTGAACGTTTGACAAGGCATGTATGTGAATGTAATTACATGTTATAGAATGTTATAACCTGTATCTCTGGTACCTAATGGGTACATGGGGCTACAGTCGCCGCTGCTTCTGACAAGAATCATTAAACCATAGAAGGCAACACTTCTAAATTAGCCAGTGGGAGTTACATTTAAAGGAAGCGTTGAGGAGAATCGAGAAAAAGTAGCTCTGCATGTTTAAAAAGAGGTAATTGCACATTATGGTGGCGGGGACAGCCTTTGCAAAACCTCAACACTCAATGCTCGACACCCCTGTGTGTTTTGGGTCTGTGTCTGAATCTTCAAACAAATGGACTTGTCTATAAAAAGAAAACTGTAGCAAGCGTGTACATAAAAAAGCTACATACATGGCTCTGCCGCAGCGGCACCGAATAGAGTGGCCTGTTAATTATGGATGAGACATTCGTAAGCAACAGCACTCCTCACACAAAATACTGAATGCAGTACATTAGAAGCTGTTAGAGACAGTAGAGGAAAATGAGAGTAAATGAGAGAGAGGGATGGATCTATGGCGAGGGAGAGTGATACATTAAAGAGGAAATAGCAAGAGGGAAAGGGATATAGAGTAGAGTAAGGGAGAGGAGATTAAAAACGATAGAGACTGCAAGAAAAAAGACAGACAAGGAAAAAAGAAAATATTTTTTGAGAGCAATGATTTGGATAAATGAGGGGCAGAGATTGGTGTGGTGGTGAGAGATAGAGGAGAGTGAAAGATGGGGTGGGAGAGGAGGCGGCTTTGAAGAAAGGGAAAGATGCAGAGGCAGATACTGCCAGAGAGAGAGAGAGAGCGAGAGAGCGAGAGAGAGAGAGAGAGAGAGAGAGAGAGAGAGAGAGAGAGAGAGAGAGAGAGAGAGAGAGAGAGAGAGAGAGAGAGAGAGAGAGAGAGAGAGAGAGAGAGAGAGAGAGAGAGAGAGAGAGAGAGAGAGAGAGGAGAACAAGATGAGGGGGAGAACAAGAAAGAGAGAGACAGACCAAGAAAAACAGAGAGAAATCAGCCCAGTCCACTGTGCTGACAGAACAGCACTCAGGAATGCAAGAGGAGTTTGCTGCTTACAACACCTAAGAGAACAATCAGTAATGCATTAGATTGCCATAGAAAACATATTAAATAAAAAGGTAAGTGTTATTTCCCTGGTAAATGCAGATGAAAAGGAACCAACTTCATAATGTATTAACCTTGCTTCGCTCCACCTGGCTTTTTCATAGATTTATTTTTTAAATATGAATTGATTAATTCACACTTCCCTAGAATATGATTGTTCCTGTCATGCCTGCAGCCACAAATGATGGCACAAACAGAGTCGATGAGAGGAGAGAGGAAGAGAGGAAACAGAGGAAGTGATGGCCGGAGGGAGAATGGGTAAGAGAGTGGAGTCATAAAGAAATAAAGAGGGAGGTATAGTGAGACGAAGGAGAATGATAGAAAGAGGGAGGAGAGAGAAATGGATGGATGAAGAAATAAATGAGTGTAGCCTACAGAAAGGATGGAGAGAGCGAAAGACAGAACATGAGAGAGAGCAAGAGACAGAACATGAGAGAGAAAGAGAGAGAGAGCAGGAGGGAGAGGTTTAGGTAAGCCTGATTTCACTGCTGGGTCAGTGAATTGATACAGACACACCAGGGCACAGGAATATTGTGACCTCCTGCCCAGATGCTCCTAGTCAACCTGAAAAAGTCCAGTAAAACACGACACCGCGGTTAGCATTCCTTTACAAGGCCACTCCTGTACTTCATTTTCACCATGTCTTCCATTTTTTTCCTTTCTCTAGTTTTTTTCACCCTCTAACAGGAAGAAAAAGGTTTGCCTTGTTACAAAGAGGGCGGGGAGGGCTTGACCTAGCAGAAGGGTGTCCTACCTACCTAGCCACACTTTCTGCTGTGATAGAATAACTGCAAACCAGACCCTTATGCGAGCTGTCTACAACACTCAAAACACATACGTGCACAGGTCAGCAAAAGTGACACCCCAGTCAAACTAAACCGCATCACAATACTAGAGAGAGCAAAAGAGCTGGATATGCTTAGGCGAGTGAAAATGATATCCTGGCATAGGCTACGCATGTCTTCATCCCTTTTCAATATTACATGGTGAATGGCACTCCAAACCCAAACAGATCAATACAGCTAACTTGACACATATTAGCACCATAAAAGCAACATGACTACAGAGACTAGCCCTGTCAGGAGGCATTATGCAGGAGATAACACTAAGAGAGGGAGAAACATGAGACATTTGAAAAACAGAAAGAAAAAAATAACAATATTGAGTCAATGTGTTCTTACCTGTTTGTTGTACTTGTTGATGGTTTGACTGCTGTACTCAGAGCAGTGGTCAGATCCAAGGGAAATGTTATCTCCGGTGCCAACGAAGGTGTTGGCAGGGGGCAGGTCCTGAACAGCCTGATGCTTTTTCCCGGCCGTGGGTGACTGGGGGTGGAGCTGGACCGTGGGCAGCGGCGAGCTGGACTTGTAGTGCCGGGCCAGATCCGGGCTCCCGGGCCCTCCGTTAACGGACCGGTACCGGCCCATCCCGGGGCTGTCGGACAGCTTCTCGTTGACGCCGTCGTAGCGCTGGCCGTTGGGCTTGGAGGCCTCGATGGTGACGATGCTGCTGTACAGTGGCTGTTTGGACTTCTTGCTCTTCTTGTCCTTCTTGGGCTTCTTGCCCTTGTCATGCTGCTGAGGGGTGAAGAAGTCCTCGTGGTCCTTCTTGCCCGCCTCGTAGCCGTTCTTGTTCTTGGGGCGGCAGTAGCGGGCCATGACGACGATGAGGATGATGAGGATGACCGTCATGATGCCCGACACCACCCCAATGACGATGCTCAGCCGCTGCTTACCCAGGTCATAGTTGGGGTCACCAGCGATGTTGGTGTTGAGTGGCGTGCCCAGGCTCTTGGCCACCTGGGCCTCCACGATGGTGGAGTTGGAGAGGGTCTCATTGACATAGACATGCACCAGGGTAGTGGTGCTCTGGGAGGGCTGGCCGCTGTCGTTCACCCGGACCACCAGTCTATGGAGGCCATAGTGTTTCTGCTCCAGCTTCCCCACCAGTGAGATAACCCCGCTGCCCCCGTCGATCTCAAACAGTTTGAAGGGGTTACCGCCGATGATGCTGTAGTTCAGGTCAGCGTTGATCCCTGTGTCCGTATCCGTGGCCATGACGGTTCGAACTACAGTCCTGATGTTACTGGAGGGGGGCAGGAGGGTGTAGGAGCTGTTGATGGGGAAGGTGACGGTTGGCGGGTTGTCGTTCTCGTCCATCACGAAAAGTGACACGGTGGCGGTGGCGGATCTGGGCGGGTCTCCACCGTCCACGGCCTTGACCCGAAACGTGTATGAAGTCTTCTGCTCGCGGTCAAACGACATAGTGGAGAAAATGGTTCCTGTGTCATTCTCAATGGAGAAGATATCCTCCTCTTCCTCAATGAAGAGGCTCATTTCAGCGTTCTGGCCATTGTCAGCATCAATGACGGTCACCATGCCAACGGGGCTGTTGGGTGTTAGGTTCTCTTTGATGTAGAAGGTGAACACATCCTGCATGAACTTTGGCTCGTTGTCATTCTTATCTGCCACTAGGACCACCACAGTGGCTGACCCCTGGAGTATGGGCATGCCCTTATCTTTGGCTATCACTTTGAACTCGTACCTCTCTGTTTGCTCTCTGTCCAGAATGGTGTTTACTCTGATGTCACCGCTGTCTGGATCAATGGAGAATATCCCATTCACAGAGGAGTCGAGGGAGTAGGCGATTTCTGCATTCTTGCCACTGTCAGCATCGATGGCCTGCACTGTGGTCACCCTCTCGCCTGGGGCATTGTTTTCCGGAAAGGACACTTCCACCACGTTCTGGCTAAAGATGGGTGGGTTGTCGTTGAAGTCGCCCACCTTTACGATAAGCGAGTTATTACTGGCCAGGCTAGGGCTTCCTGAGTCCACAGCCACGATGACCACATTGTACTCCTGTGTGGCCTCATAGTCCAGCGGTGCTGATGTATGGAGAAAGTATTTCTTCTTATTCATCTCACCCTCAATCTCACTGGCTGGTTTGAGCTGGAAGGGCACGTCACCCACCACAGTGCAGGTCACGATGCCGTTCTCGCCCTGGTCGCGGTCAGACACCTGGACTAAGGCTATAGGCGTGTCCACCACTACATCCTCCGCCACGTTGGCCACTCCATCCTTCAAGAAGATGCGTCCGATCTTACGAATCTCGATAGCGGGCACGTTGTCGTTCTCATCCTTGATGTTGAGGACCACGGTGGCCTTGTCCATTTTGGGTGGCTGACCTCGATCCCTTGCCATTACCGTGAAGCGCAGCTGGCTCACCTCCTCGCGGTCAATACGATGGAGGACGCTCAGCCACCCCGAGCTCTCGTCCAGCCTCAGCAGCCTACGCACTGACTCTGTGGCCGCACCAAATACGTACTCAATCTGACCATTCACCCCAACGTCTGCGTCAGCTGCTTTCAGCTGCAGGATGGGGGCACCAGGGGAGCTGTTCTCTGGCAGGTCAGCCTCATACACAGCCTTCTCAAAGCGGGGGCTGTTGTCATTCACATCAGTGATCATGACCCGCAGGATGGCCTGGGAGGAGCGTGGGGGGTCGCCCCCGTCCCTAACACGCAGGGTGAGCTCATAAGAGTCCCTCTGCTCCCTGTCCAGCGTCCCTTTAATGATGAGCTGCGGCTGTTTTTCCCCATCAGTTGTGTCAGCAACTTGCAGTTCAAAGACACTGCTCCTGCCTGCCCCCTCATCAAATCTCCTGCTGTCCGCCCCCCGTCCCCCTGAGCTCGAACCCAGGCGCCTGGAGCTCTCCCCGCTGTCCTGAATAAGCTCATATCGCTCAATTCCATTCCTGCCGAAATCTCTGTCGGTGGCTGTGGGCAGGAGATAGAGAGTGCCAATCGGTCTGTTCTCCTCCACCGACAATGTCAGCACAGGAGAGGGGAAAGACGGGGTGTTGTCATTTATGTCTAAAATAATGACTTTCCCCTCGAACAGGTCGACCCAGCTCTGAGCCGGTCCAATTACTGACACTTCAAAATCTATGAAACATTCGTTTTCATCAAATATCATTTGGCACTGCTGTAATTTTTCACGGTCTATCCGCCGTTCATTAGTGGTCAGCTCGCCTGTTATATTATCTATTTTGAAAAAATCTGAGCCAGACTCGAGGGTAAACGTGACCTCGCCAGACCCGGCGACGATTCCGAGGTCTTTGGCTACGTTCCCTACCCTGACATCCGCGGGACCCTCCTCAGCCAGGCGATATCGCAGCACTTGCTTGGCATCGGGCTGATTCAGCAGCTGCAGGATGAGTATACTGTAGCATAAATAGTCCAATGCGCCAGTAGTCCTCATTGTTCCCCGCAATGTGTTAACTGGATTTTAAAGCCTTGAATCGAATGAGGATGACGTTTACTTGCTGGTATTGTTTTTGGGAAACATAATTTTCCTTCTCGGTTTATTTGAAGTCCTCCGTTTCAGGATGTGTAAGACTTCATCCCCCGGACGCCCTCCAACACCGCTTCAACTGCAGTGAATAAGAGCGAGTGCACCGGCTATACTTTTCTTCATATTTTTTTTATTTGTTTTGGGGGGGGGGGGGGGGGGGGGGGTTCGTTGGGAATTATCCTCACCCCTTTTTTCAGCACCGAATTAATTTTTCTTTCCTTCTTTCAATAAAAGCCCGCAGTCTGGGCAAAAACACAATCGAAACAGTCCGTTCAGGCTGGTGATATCCTATGTCATGAATTCATTACGATTCCGAATATCTTATCATGCCTGTAAAGAGAAAATGTCCAAAATGTTATCTTATTTAATTTTAATTTTAAATCAGTCCGAGTTTATTCAATTAGACAAAAACATCTCCCAGATTGATATAGAAGCGATGTAAATGGTCAAGATTCCTTAGAAGATATTTCCAACACAGAATTGTGGCAATGAAATGCCCGCAGAGATTCCCAAGTTCTGATGATACAGTTAGGCTACTTTACAGAGCCGCTTGTCCTCTTACCTTGAAGCGGCGGATAAACAGCAAATGATGTGTCCAGTCGCCTATCCAAGCAGTATCCGAGCGCTCTGATTTATTCTCTACCTTCACTCACTTATAACAAGCAGCCCGTACGTAGTTAATTCTCACAGTTCTCACAGTTGAAGGCAATAAGGATAGAATAAATATAAAAACTCTGATAATGCTGGAATAACAAAAATGAATCGAACAAGGACAATTGTAATTCCCGATGTAGATATTGGAAAATGTTGGTAAATTCCTACGAGAGAATCCTCCTACTGTCCCGCATTCTCAATCCAAGCGCCTGCTCCTCACATGCGTAAACGCCGCGTGCGTTTGCAGCCCCTATCCGCTGCCTGTGAGAGCAATTCACAAATGAGTCTCGGGCGCTCTCTCCACCCCTCCAGTTTCTTTCCCCAGCGCAGGTAACTAGGGCTGGACGTGTTTGGTAGGTTTCTAGATGGTAGCCGACGAAGTAGCCTATTTGTTGAAAGGAGAGGGAGGGAGAGAGAGAAAGAAAGAAGAGGGTCCTTTTTTCTTGTTAATAAGGGAAAGATTTAACCAAATGTGACTCAGTACCACATTAACAAAATGCAATTGCAATGCATCACACACTACCCATTGGAATGGTCTTAGTCAGGGTGCGGGGTGGGGGTATTGTGAGATGGCTTGGAAAAGAGACACTCTACCGTGGACCATTTTACCGAGGATGTTGTTTCATTAATTAAATGTGTAAATTGCGTTATGGCTTAGCCTATAATGTGCCAATAGAAAATATAAAACTCCCGCATTTTACATGATTGTGTTTTGGTTATTACACGGTCATAAGATGTCTGTAGACAGCAGACAGTGCTATGAAGACAGTGCTATGAAGACCGTAATATCCATTTCTCACAAAAGTTTAGACAGTTGCCGCTCATTTTCGAGTGATGGCTTGACTATTCCAACGTGCTGGTTCCATTTTAGTTTCTATTTGTTGTCAACCTTTATGCAGGTTTCACGCATGTATGCTACGATAGTCTACAGTGCTATATCCAAGTAAAATCTTTAACCGATGACTCTCCATCGTCCAGTCATTATGTAGCCTACTTCTACATAATTATTTGTTGGTTCAGTAGGTTATTATGACCAAACGGGGAGATAGGCCCCTACGTGTTGGATTCTGAGCGCAGCGCTGTGGTTTCTCTCTGTGGTCACTAATATACATGTGTGAGGTCGCCTGTGGCTTTGTTCTCTCCGGAGCAGCGAGCTCAGTGTTACCTAGTCTCTAATTATTTCCATGACTGCAGGCGAGACACCTCCGTGGATGTCGTGCGACACTTGGCCACTGCGCAACCCACCCAGAACTATCCCGGTAAGAGATGTGTGATGCCGCAATCGGTGTAGTCATCAAATATTTCATAGCCTTTCAAACAGATGCATGTGTGGACTACCCACATATCATATCGTGAAAATATATAATATATTGTAGTGAATTTTGCTTTTGCACTATACAAGTGGTTCAGACATTCAAAATAAAACAGTTTGAAACAGAAAGTGACATGGGGGGGGGGGGGGGGGGGGGGGGGTTTGGTGGTTGAAATTCAACTCCATACATTGGAACATATAAACGAGTCTAAATCTAACACACCTTCCCTGATATAGATATAATTGATCCCAAAGCGAAATAATGTACATTAATCAACGCTAATATACACTTGTGCGCATCACTGAATGTGAGTATTCGTCCTCGTGTAAAGACTTCCCCTCTATCCCACTTAACATGGGAGATCCATATAAGGTAGCCTACTGTGCTGTGCGTGCGGTGAGGGTATGGCATCGCAATTAAAGAAAGGAGAAAGGCTGCGGCTGTATTTTTTAGGCTCCTCTGAATTCCAGCAGTGGCCAGATCCTTGCTCTCCATCGCCCTCTGTCGTTGGCTAATATATATATATATATATATATATATATATATATATATATATATATATATATATATATATATATATATATATATATATATATATAATGACAATATGCTCTTGAGCTACTGTAGTTACAGTGAGGTGTATTTAGGGATACTTTTTTGATGGACAGTTCGGTTGTGTATATTGACATGCTTATTGGACTGACCAACATATATTTTTATTTAGATATATGTAGGCCTAGTGGTGATTTTTCTCAACCAAGGCAAGGCACAATTCCAACAACGTTTTGTAAAATGAATGCAGGTGATGATTACAAATGCATTCATTCTTTTTGCATTATTATGCATGATTTAGGAAGGGCATTTCAATCATTTCACAATGCAAAAATATGCCCATATGCCCTTTCTCAAACACGGCATAAGATACTGTAGAACAACAATTTCCATCTTATAGAGTAAGTCAGTAGGTGAAATGGTGAGGTGAACGCTTGTATAACGGACATGTTTATTAATGGGATTAATATTGCCTATACTGTTTCTGGATTCAATTCATCATGTTTTCTCCTCTGGTTCTCTAACAGAGTAATTGATTACATAGATTATGACATAATCATCAACCATCAATGAACATAAAAACATTTTCAGCAGGAAACATGTGAAAGTTATTTGATTTAATTAACCAGAAGCAACAGTTACTCCCAAACGTAATGCCCATGATTCAAAGTATGCCATAAATCCATAGGGGGATAAACCAATGAAAAGTAGCATATTTATATACATCTCTAAAAAAAAGTCCCATAACTTCTGCTCATTACATGTATAGCAGGTATGTGTCACTGCAAAATATATATTTTGGGTTAATAATAAATGTACCAAGTTTCTTTGAAGTGGGGCACTGGTTCCTCTGATCCCACCGGCATCTGTACGCATGCTGCTGTTGGTGAGTGATGCTAAGCTAAGGTAGTGGCACCAGGTGTTGGGACTTTACCTAGGCTAACTCACTCAATTAATTATGGAGCTGACATTGCAGTTCGCTAACCTCCTGCAAGAGGAGAAATCTTCTCTATTTACATATTTGTATCACACAGCATAGACCTTCATCAATCAGTTTCAACACCGATTTGTCAACCAGGGGATGTGTAGTGTGTAGTTTCACTCGCTGTGTTTTTCCCCCACTTCAGGCACAGTATTCAACACCCCACGGTTGAATTGTGTTCCCAATCGTTGGTTTTTCTACAAATCGATGCAGTTAAACTGTGTTGGAAATGCTACAAGGGTGTAAAACTACCAGAGAAGTGTTTCAAAACAGACTTTTTTGACAGCAATACATAAGGACATGTTGTCCATTTCATTTTTATCACCTACCTCTAAATAAATCTTCAAAGACAAAATGTTTCTCACCTCTCCGTCCCATCTCTCTTTCGTGTTCATGCACATCTCAGCTAGAGCAGGAGTCAACCATGATAGCATCAGTGTGGTGTAGTGGTGTAAGGTTGCTTTTTACCAGCTATCGACAACAATTCACTCAGAGATATCTAAAGCTCAAGGCAGTATGCAGATTCAGGATTGAAAGGACAAAGCATCATTCCTCTATGTGTGTGCTGTGTGTGAGAAGAGAATGGTGTTCTAGCGTGTGTGTGTAGGCCCCATATTTGTGTATGTGCATGCATACAGTACCAGTCAAGAGTTTGAAGACACCTACTCATTCAAGGGTCTTTCTTTATTTTTACTATTTTTTACATTGTAGAATAATAGTGAAGACATCAAAACTATGAAATAACACATATGGAATCATGTAGTAACCAAAAAAGTGTTAAACAAATCAAAATATATTTTATATTTGAGATTCTACAAATAGCCACCCTTTGCCTTGATGACAGCTTTGCACACTCTTGGCATTCTCTCAACCAGGTTCACCTGGAATGCTTTTCCAACAGTCTTGAAGGAGTTCCCACATATGCTGAGCACTTGTTGGCTGCTTTTCCTTCTCTCTGCCGTCCGACTCATCCCAAACCATCTCAATTGGGTTGAGGTCAGGGGATTGTGGAGGCCAGGTCATCTGATGCAGCACTACATCACTCTCCTTCTTGATAAAATAACCCTTACACAGCCTGGAGGTGTGTTGGGTCATTGTCCTGTTGAAAAACAAATGATAGTCCTACCAAGCCCAAACGTATCGCTGCAGAATGCTGTGTTAGCCATGCTGGTTAAGTGTGCCTTGAAATCTAAATAAATCACAGACAGTGTCACCAGCAAAGCACCCCCACACCATAACACCTCCTCCTCCATGCTTCACGGTGGGAACTACACACGCAGAGATCATCCGTTCACCCTCACCTCGTCTCACAAAGACAAGGCGGGTTGAACCAAAAATCTCTAATTTGTACTCCAGACCAAAGGACACATTTCCACTGGTCTAATGTCCATTGCTCATGTTTCTTG